ATGACAACCCCTCCATCCCAGGCACCATTCTAATAATCCTTCTCTGAACCCTTTCCAACAATTAAATGTCCTTTCTAAGGTAAGGAAACACAAGACTGAACATAATATTCCAAATGTGGCACAACCAGTGACCTGTACAATGAAATTATAACCTCTTTAGACTTGTATTCAATATTTCTGTAGATACAACCTAAAATCCTATTTGCCCTACCACTAGCTACAGCACACTGCTTGGATGAGACTGATCAACTATTACACAAAGATCTCTTTCTTTCATGACACTATTATGGTAATTTTCAACGAAATTATACTTATAATTCAAATTATGATAACCCACATGTATTATCTTGTATTTTATTATAATTAAAATCCATTTGCCATTTATTTGCCCAACTCACTAAATGATCTAAATCCTTTTGTAAATCAGCAGCATCCTCTTCACGGCTAGCAATACCCAAGACCTTAACGTTATCTGCAAATTTAAGTAATTTATTTACTATTCTTTCATCTAAACTGTTTATTTGTAAGCTTCCATTCACACTATTGATTTGATGCCACTTCTCTTTAAACTAAACTGTTTATTTGTACGTGGACAACACATCACACTGCCAGCTGTCACCAAAAGCAACATTCAGTTATATTCACAACACACTAAAACATTTGCTAACATTTTTCTGTCTTAATAAGAAACTATTTCGTTATTTGAGTTTTACTAGTAGGAGTCACATCAATTATAGTTTTACAATGGAACAGTTCAAAGATACAAAAAATTACTTTATTAAATGCATCACTTTGTCATAATTCATTATAAATATACTTATATATTAATATAAAATGTACTGCAAACACATATATTTTCATAAATGTTTGAATTATTTAAAAATTAAACTTATTTGAGGCTTACCACCAAGGTCATTCATTTTCCAGCTGTTTGCAAAAGCTGACACTGATCCACCAGCTTGACCATTAACTAACTCAAAGTCATTCTCTTTACTTCCATCAAAGCGACCACAAAGCCCTGAAGTCTTATTTTTTAGGGAAGATGCAAGTGAAAGCAGTACTGTATCTTCTCCATTCCACTTTAAGCTGAGACCAAAACATCAGTATTACACTCCTACACAGCAGTTGTTCCTTCTTTACTTGTAATATTTGTTCAACATTAAAACACACTGGTTTTTGTATTATTCAGTTTCCAATTCTCTGATAACTGAGACCAGTAGTAACAATAAAAATCAGTGTGAATAAATGCAAGAAAGTATACTAAAACAATCAGAATACAACAATAAAAATCAATTTGAAAAATGCAAGTAAACATGCTAAAATAATTAAAATGCAACAATGAAAGTCAGTATTAACTGGAAGTAAATATGCTTGGACAATCAAAATGCAAGAGTGAAAGTCAATATGAACAACTGTAAGTAAATATGCTACAACAATCAACATGCACTAATGAAAATAAGTGTGAACAAATGCAAGTAAACATGCTAAAACCATCAAAATGCAATAATGAAAATCAATGTGCACAATGAAAGTAAACATACTAAAACAACATGCAACAATGAGAGTCAGTGTGAGTAACTGCCTGTAAATATGCTAAAACAACTACATTATCAGGACAAGTATAACACACAAATTACAGTTATTATTTATATTAAGAATTATTTTATTACCAAAATTATCAAATAAAAACTTCAGACTGGAACTGCTACAACATTAAACATGTAAAGCATCACTAAAAAAGGTATTATACAAGTATCACTTAAAAAACCAACATGTCAGTATTAGCATGAAAAGTTACATTATTATATTAATCAACAAAATTTATTGTAGTGAAAATAGTAATATCACAACACAATTTACAATAATAATGACTATATTAGTTAAATATTTATTGTAGTGAAAATACTGACATTATAATGCAATCTACACTAACCACTACAACTAACACTATAATATTAGTGTATAAAGTGACACAGATAAATTAGTCAACAAAGTTAATTGTAGTAAAAATGCTAACATCAAAACATAATCTGCAAAATAGCCACATCAATTAACATTTCAATATTAGTGTATAATGTAACACTGATAAATTAGTTCACAAAATTTAGAATGGTGGAAATACACACATCACAACAAAATCTACAATAACTACTTCAATTAGCACATCAAGATCTGTATAAAAAAATGACATTTTCTGTTGACTAGTAAAGAAAATGGAATCAGAATCTATAACAACTATTCAACCACAGTGATAACTTTGTTATGATTAACTTTACAATTATAACTTGAATCTATTCATCCAAACCAAATTAACAAAATTTTGCTGTTAAACTCTACTCCTCATGTCCTTCTTCATTCAGTTTTGCTTCCTATTCCAATGATTGTCTTCTTAACAAAGTGAAAGTAACATAATACTAATCACTCCTACATTTCTAAAATAATCTCATATGATCTTGGTAATCCAAATTCAGTATATTTCTGTAATCCTAATCATTAAAAGGAACTCACCTGAATCCTAAGGAGCTTTTAATAACCAGGTATCCTGCAATTTTCTCCAGTAACAGACCACCAGATGTGCTAGGAACAGAAATTTCTTCTGTCCCATGGTAGACAGTAGCTTTTTTTTGAGAGTACATCAGCTTATACTTCTCTCCACCCAAATATATCACTATAAGTCTATGACATATCCGGCTACTGACACAACTAGGATCATTCTTTATGTGTATGCTGAATGTGTTATCACGCGAGTCTTTAGCTAAAACATAGGCACATGGACCTTGGAAACTGTACATACTACCATCAAAGGTTCGGTAATGAAATTGACCCCATGTTGCACACACACCACTGTGCTTTTGATCATCTACTCCAACTGAAAAATTGAAAAAAAAATAGCTTCAATGTGGTGGTATTAAATATTACAATTAATGATGTTACTTAATATTCAGTTTTGTTTTACTGTATCTAAGACCACTAAACGTATTAAATATTACAATTAATAATGTTACATAATATTCAGTTTTGTGTTTTACTGTATATAACATCACTAAATGTATTAAAGATTACAATTAATAATGTTACTTAATATTCAGTTTTGTTTTACTTTACGTAACACCACTAAACATATTAAATATTACAATTAATAATGTTACACAATATTCAGTTTTGTGTTTTACTGTATATAACATCACTAAATGTATTAAAGATTACAATTAATAATGTTACATAATATTCAGTTTTATGTTTTACTGTATATAACATCACTAAACGTATTAAAGATTACAATTAATATTGTTACATAATATTCAGTTTTGTGTTTTACTGTATATAACACCACTAAACATATTAAATATTATAATTAATAATGTTACATAATATTCAGTTTTGTTTTACTGTATCTAACACCACTAAACATATTAAAGATTACAATTAATAATGTTACATAATATTCAGTTTTGTTTTACTTTATGTAACACCACTAAACATATTAAATATTATAATTAATAATGTTACATAATATTCAGTTTTGTGTTTTACTGTATATAACATCACTAAATGTATTAAAGATTACAATTAATAATGTTACATAATATTCAGTTTTGTTTTACTGTATCTAACACCACTAAACATATTAAAGATTACAATTAATTACACATAACATTATGTTTTCGAAAAACACTGTGCAGCACTCGTCATCCAATCTTGTACATTAAATTCCAAGTTTAATTTCTAATAAGTAAGCAGTTATTAAAAACTGCTCTCTGTATAGTTTTTTGAATTATTACATTATTACAAGACATGATTATAAAATATCAACTGAAAGAAAGGAGCTTCATTACAGTCAAAAATTTGTCAAACTGCAGATATAAATTTGGCTGTTTTTTTTTGTCAAATTGCAATAAATACTTTTATCCAAAATGTTTTCTGTAAAGATGAAGCAATATACTTTGTTCTAACACTCTCCAAATACACAGTTATATATATATATATATATATATATAGTGTAATTATTACTCATAATTCTTCTTTTGCTACCTTAAACTTAATAACTTACTTGTTTTAATTTTCTCAGCAGGAAAATATGGACTTCCCGTTGGATGGATCACATTCACTAGAAAATTAGAATTACCTTTCTAAATTCAAGGACTTTGACAATCAAAACAAAAAAGTCAATGTAATCATTCTCTTGATTATTTCTTGTTAGATTTAAACAAGTTGACATATGGAAGTTACTAATCCTAAAAAAATAATTACCATAAATGTATAGCTTACCACAACATACAAATTTATTACACCAATTAAGTAATGAAAAAGTAAGCCCCACACAGGTATACAACATAGCATAATAGTACTAACATACAATACCCTTCATGACAGTTAATAGCTTATACCAACGTAAAATCTTACCAGGAATGCACTTAGGGGCTGTAGCTGGGTTCCATGTTCCCTCTACACTACAAGTATAGATGTCAGCAGGCTGGGATTCAAACTCTGTACCTTGAGCACAGTTTAAAGAACATTTGGTTTCTTGCTGGGTGTGATTACACTGCCATGATCCAATAAACTTCAGTGAATCAGATGGATTGCAGATTGATGTGTCTGATATAATAAATCAGAGCTACTATTAGCACAGAAAATAAATATAATAAATCCATGCTATTATTAACATACAAAATAAATATAATAAATCAGTTAGTATTAACACAGAAAATAAGTATAATAAATCAGTTAGTATTAACACAGAAAATAAGTATAATAAATCAGAGCTACTATAAACACACAAAATAAATATACTAATCAATCAGAGCTACTATTAGCACACAAAATAAATACAATAAATTTAAGCTATTATTAACACACAAAATAAACATAATAAATCAGAACTACTATCAGTACACAAAATTAATATAATAAATGAGAGCTATTATTAACACACTAAACAAATATAATAAATCAGTTATTATTAACACATAAGATAAATATAATAAATTAGAGCTATTATTAACACATAAGATAAATATAATAAATGAGAGCTATTATTAACACACAAAACAAATATAATAAATGAGAGTTATTACTAACACACAAAATAAATATAATAAATTCAAGCTATTATTAACACACAAAACAAATATAATAAATCAGAGTTATTATTAACACATAAGATAAATATAATAAATGAGAGCTATTATTAACACACAAAACAAATATAATAAATCAGTTATTATTAACACATAAGATAAATATAATAAATGAGAGCTATTATTAACACACAAAACAAATATAATGAGAGTTATTACTAACACACAAAATAAATATAATAAATCAGAGTTATTAACACATAAGATAAATATAATAAATGAGAGCTATTATTTACACACAAAACAAATATAATAAATGATAGCTATTATTAATACACAAAACAAAT